TAATCTATGACAGAACAACTGACCACTATCCTACCTTTCTCATAGCGAACATGGACATAACACCACCAAAAAGCAAGAAACTTTCATTTAGGCTACACAGTGAATCAGCTTTAGACAATCTTACAGAGGCACTTCACAATATTAACTGGGATTCTGAATTCAATAATACCCATGATATAAATTCATTAGCTAACCTCTTCCTCTCCAAAACTCTAAGCCTCTACAACCTTCATTGTCCCCTTCTTACCAAGCAAGTAACTGACAAAAGATTAAACAATCCATGGCTCACAACTGGCATTCTCAACTCAATCAACAAGAAACATGAATATGAAAAGAAAGTTAGGATTGGCCTAGTTTCAAAGGAAGTAGCTAAAAGGTACTCATCAATGCTTACCAGTATCATAAGAAAGGCAAAACTTGCATATTATGTGAATAGATTCAATGAAGCAAAAGGCAACATGAAAAGCACTTGGAAAACTATCTCTAGTATCCTAGGAACTAAACAACACTCACATAACCAAATAAAACTCTACAAGGATGGGGATATACCGTCAACTGATTTAGAAATGGCAAATGAATTTAATAGTTTCTTTTCATCGGTTGGTTCTAATCTTGCCAGTAAAATCCCACAGACTCAGACACATATTAACACATACCTCTCAGGCAGCTATCCAAACTCTCTTCTCCTTTCACCAATCAGCCCGGCAGATGTTGTGTCCATCATACACTCTCTAAAAACCAAGGCAGGGAACACCAGTGAAATTCCGTCCATTGTGTACAAGAGAGCCTCCCATGCCCTTGCCCCACCCATAGCACTACTGTTCAACAAATCTATAGAGTGTCACACCTTCCCTGATATCCTCAAAAAAGCAAGAGTAACGCCAGTCCATAAAGGAGGCAATCCGGCGGACATAAACAATTATAGATCAATATCAAATCTACCCATTCTATCAAAAATATTTGAAAAAATTATTTACAAACAGCTCTATTCCTACCTCGTAAAATTCGACATACTCAGCCCCTGCCAGTTTGGCTTCCGGTCCCAAAAGAGCATCAACGATGCAATCATTAGTCTCCTTGACGTTATCTACTCAGCCCTTGACAAAAATGAGTTTCCGATTGGACTCTTCATTGACCTAAGAAAAGCCTTTGATACTGTTAATCACAACTACCTCTTACTTAAACTCCAGCATTATGGAATCCGAGGCCTTGCCCTTGACTACATCCGATCCTATCTTAGTGACAGACACCAATATGTAACCATCAATGATACAACTTCTTCCACTCTACCAATTACCGTTGGAGTGCCACAGGGCAGCATCTTAGGACCTCTTCTATTTCTTATATATATAAACGATCTGCCTAATGTCTCTAATATTCTCAAACCTATATTGTTTGCTGACGATACTACCCTTATCTATTCAAACCTCAACCCACATACACTAAATAATGTTGTGAATAATGAATTAAAAAAAGTCCACTTATGGATGTCAACGAACAAACTAACATTAAACATCGAAAAGACTTACTACAACTTATTTGGAAGCAAATCATCAAATGCAATTCAGCTACAGATAGACAACATTAACATCAGTAATAAAAATGATGGCAAGTTTCTTGGCCTATTCCTAGACAAGAGACTCAACTTCAGCACCCACATTCAACACATAACTAAGAAAGTCTCTAAGACAGTTGGTATACTCTCCAAAATCAGATATTATGTCCTAACTCTGCTCTCCTCTCACTATATTATGCACTAATCTACCCCTATCTTAATTATGGTATCTGTGCATGGGGGTCTACCACTGCAAACCACCTTAAGCCCATCATCACACAGCAAAAATCTGCTATCAGAATAATAACTAACTCTGCTTTCAGACAACGCTCAGCTCCCTTGTTTAAATCTCTAAACTTGCTAAATATTAACTCCCTCCACACATTCTCTTGTGTCAACTACATTTACAAAACCCTGTTCTTAAATGCAAACCATGCTCTGAAACTCTCCCTGGACAGATGTAATAGGACCCATTATCACCACACCAGAAATAAATATCTCTTTGATATCCCCAGGGTCAAACTTAATCTGTGTAAACACTCTATGCAAATTAAGGGACCTAGTCTATGGAACTCACTCCCTAGTGAATTGAAAAACTGTAAAACTTTTGCCTTATTTAAAAGCAAAACCAAAAAGTACCTAACTTCATCTTCTTAGTTTCCTACACTGAGCTTTAAATTTGCTCTGTACCTAGTGTTGCCCAATCTCCTAATTTTTATGTAATATCAAACAACCTTATCATTGTGTTCATTGCTGTCTTCTTTTATGTGCTAGCCATATGCTGTATTGTGACTACCAATTTTTGTCAACTACCATTCAAGCTGTCATTGCAATCAATCTTATATTGTCTCTGCTGTATTGTGCCTACCAATTTTTGTCAACTACCATTCAAGCTGTCATTGCAATCAATCTTAGCTACCTATGTGCTTTAATATACTGTACCTACAATTTTCTCTCATCTTCTTTTTTTCATTTCATGTAACTGTTATCATTTTTTTGTCTATAAATTTTGCAAGTATTTACCTCCTTAAAATTTTCTTAGATTAAGGACCTGCCCGAAACGCTGCGCATGCTAGTGGCTTTACAAGACTGTAATTACCATATTTATATCCTCACATTCCTTATGAACATTCTTGTATATGCATAAATAAATAAAATAAATAAATAAAGTATTAGTCATTAAAGTTTTTCCTGCCTGAAACTCTTTGCATAATAGTGGCTTTAAGCATTGTATGTACTAGCTCTATATATAAATCTATCAATTTATGTAAAATCTCTTGTATGTATGTACCTTACCTGAATAAGCATGTTATTTTTATTTTATTTTTAAGGTCACACGCACTAAACTTTATCCCCCAACAATACCATTTGTGGTGTTATTACACTATATACAGACGTTATATATAAGTATGTATATGTTTTGTTCACAACTGTACAGCTAAGCTGATATAGTTAGGTCAGGCACTAAGAGTCGTCGCTATACACATAGTCAGCTGGCGGCTCCCTCACTCATTCAAGGTCACATGCACTAAACTTTCTCCCCCAACAATACTGTTTGCAGTGTTATTACACTATATACACATATTATATATAAGTATCTACATGTTGTATGCACTGTAACTGTACACCTAAGCTTGTAGAGTGCCCAAAGAGCATAGTGGCCACCCTCTGCACATCTAGACAAATCATGCAGACGACGTCACCTCCGTCACCCAAATGGCTCCTCCCAGCATAATCCTTTTGCTGTTATTACACTAATACACACATTATATATAAGTATCTACATTTGTGTTCACCATAGAGAACCACTGAGCTGGTATGGTGAATGCAGAAAATAACAGGTGACCACACAGTCAGTAAACGATGCAATCTCCCTCCGTCCCTCAGCATCACTCCTCCCACAGCGCTAATTATTATAACAATCTAAATAATAGCATTATATATTTATTTTGACATTTTTCGCCGATGCTGTGATCACAAGCTGAATAGCAATGCTGTTCGCTCATGCTGCATGCCCTAAGAATATTGCCACACCTAAGAATATTGCCCACGATTTAAAAATAATGGCGTCTGTTTACAAGAGCCCTGAGGAAGCCCTGAGGAAGCTAATGTGAACCCCATGTAGCCGCGGGCCATTTGAATCGTACCTGGCACCCTATGGCGTATATGTACGCCATGCACACTGTGGGACATGTTACTCATGGCGTATATATACGCCATGCGCAGTTTAAGGGTTAAGTAAGAGGTAGTTATGGTTAACAATATCAAAAGCCTTTCTCAGGTCAATGAAGAGTCTAATTGAAAACTCACTTTTGTCAAGGGCTGAGTAGTTTAAGTCAAGCAGACTAACAATTGCATCATTGGTACTCTTTTGGGAGCGGAAGCTAAACTGACAGGTACTTAGTATATTTAATTTTACGAGATAGGAGTAGAGCTGTTTGTAAATAATTTTTTCAAATATTTTTTAAAATATATAGGTAGATTTGATATGGGTCTGTAATTATTTATGTCTGCCATGTTACCTCGTTTATGAACTGGTGTTACTCTTGCTTTTTTTAAGGATATCAGGGAAGATATGACACTAGAGATTTATTGAACAGCAATGCTATGGGTGGTGCAAGGGCATGGGAGGCACTCTAGTTTACCATCAATGGTATTTCACTAATGTTCCCAGCTGTTTTTAGTGAGTGAATGTTGGACACAACATCTGTAGGGCTGACCGGTGAGAGGAGAAGAGAGTTTGGATAGCTGCCTGAGAGATATGTGGTAACATGTGTCTGGGTCTGTGGGATTTTTTGGGCAAGGTTAGCACCAATCGATGAAAAGAAGCTATTTTTTTTTTTTTTTTTTTTTTTGAGATATATACAAGAGTTGTTACATTCTTGTACAGCCACTAGTACGCGTAGCGTTTCGGGCAAGTCCTTAATCCTATGGTCCCTGGAATACGATCCCCTGCCGCGAAGAATCGTTTTTTCATCCAAGTACACATTTTACTGTTGCGTTAAACAGAGGCTACAGTTAAGGAATTGCGCCCAGTAAATCCTCCCCGGCCAGGATACGAACCCATGACATAGCGCTCGCGGAACGCCAGGCGAGTGTCTTACCACTACACCACGGAGACTGCTATTAAATTCAGTTGCTGTTTCAAGATTTGTTGCAGGTGTATAACCATCCTTGGAGATTTTTATCTGGTTTTGTGAATGTTGTTTAGCTCCTAGGATGTTAGATTATCATCTAACATCTATTAATTGATTATGCATTTATTGGTAATTAAAATAAAGCATGAAAAAGAGTCAATTGTTACATATACTGTATAAGCTTCTTTAATTATTAGATTTGAAGTCGAGTTTCATTCAAACAATGTAAATGTGTAATTAGATTTTAATGAGTATAAATTTCAATAATATTCAAGCATGCAAGTAATGCAATAAATATTATTTTTCAGAAATTTGTATGCTCTTGAAGCTGACCCCCAAACACGAGAACTCTGGCCTTTTCCAAAAGATTTGTGTGTTTCTGAGCATGTGTCAGAAGCCCTCACAGATTTCACAAAAAAATGGTAATTATACTTTATGAATATTATAGTTTATTAATTGGTTCAAAAGTATGTCATTAGCTTTCTGGGGGAAGCCCCTTGCAACTTCCTGAAGCTATACACTGAGATAGTTCCCATGTACCAGGTCACATCAGCCATGGAGTTTTTAGGCTTATTGATGCCTAGAGCCAGAACCTGGCACCCTCACCCAGTGACTAAACTACCCCCTACCCAAACAATGGTGCATGATAACACCACAGCAGACTCCAAGGGTGGTCAATCACCGAGCAGCAAAAGACTTTGCGGAAGTAGACACCAAGGTGACTTGTGGAAGTTGGACCCAAGCCCCAAGGGAAGTACTGATAGGGCACCTAGTGAAGAGAACCCTAGGCACATGCAGCCCGAGTACTTGCAAAATTACTCTTGGCTCGCGCATCACCTATAGGCAGTACCACACCCCAAGGCACAGAACTGGAAAAACACTGGAGCCAGAGGTGCATGACCTTGCCAGTTCACATCAGCCACAGAACTGGGGGTTTGGATAGCCGGTGTGGGAGTCAGGGGCTCCTCCTTGCCCCACCTGGGGAGGGGGGGGGGGAGTTGCGCAGACAGCAGCACCGTGATGTGGTAACGTCATGGTTTGCTCGTTTTTCATTTGGGGAGTTCTATCCACTAGTTCAGCTTTCAATAGCAATATTTTAACCCCTTAACTGCGTTGCCTCCAAATGTGACACCCCCGCAGTGCGCAGGAAATAAATTCTCTGGAAAAAATTCATTTTCCTTTTTAAAGTGTCAAAAACCCTTCTCTCAGTATGGGTATGTAAAAAAAAAGTCGAAATTGTACTTACTTTGGCTGCTATGGGGTCCGGAAGTTGGGGCGTGATGTCATCGTTCCCCGTGCGCCCGTGCCGTAAGCTCTCGGGGGCGGTGGGGCTCTCGGGGCGGGGCGCGCGAGTTGCCGCGAATATATTTTTGTTCATTTTTTTGCGCACCTTTCCAAATACATTTTCATTGTTTTTATGTGCCAATCCAATGTATAATGAACACGTACACTATAATATCGCAGTACAACATCCATACTGTCCGTAGACACTGTGTTACGTGCATGAAACTTGTGTACACATATGCAGCACATATTTACTATGTATCATGCTAATTTGTGTATATATACAATCTATTTACACACTATACACAGTCACACACTATATACATTCACCATCAACACATTCAGAACACCGCGTAGCAGCTGCTTCGTATGGGCCAATAGCAGCTGCCTCGTATGGGCCAATATCAGCTGCCTCGTATGGGCCAATATCAGCTGCCTCGTATGGTCCAATAGCAGCTGCCTCGTATGGTCCAATAGCAGCTACCTCGTATGGGCCAATAGCAGCTGCCTCGTATGGGCCAACAGCAGCTGCCTCGTATGGGCCAACAGCAGCTGCCTCGTATGGGCCAACAGCAGCTGCCTCGTATGGGCCAACATACGAGATGGCAACCCCATCTACTTGCTTATACATGTGCCCATCTGGGCTCACGAAGGGTGCCTCTTTAGTGCAGGCTTGGAGTAGTTTCCTCAGTATGCTTTTTGGCATGTCAAGAGGAGTGCAAGCCAGGTCACGATACACTCTGCTATCATCCCGATTGTCTCATCCACAGGTACGTTGGTAAATAGTGACTCCACATCCAACAAGGCTCTTATCCCTGTGGCCCGTGCTCCGCGCAGTAAATCGACAAATTCCTTGGGAGACCTCAAGCTGAAAGCACAGGGTACGTAAGGAGTCAGCAACCCGTTGAGTTGCTTAGCCAGTCTGTATGTGGGTGTGGGTATCTGGCTGATGATTGGCCGAAGTGCGCTTCGAGGCTTGTGGGTCTTGACATTTCCATAGGCATCACCAGAGAAATCTTAACAAACAACACAGAAATCATCGATAGGTACGGCGATAGCAGGCTGCTTGACATCAGCGAGGCAATACACATCAAAAAGTCAACACCAGCAATCAACAGCCAATTAATGCACAACTATATTCTACCTACTTCAAGACCCCGAACCAATATGGAAGCAGCAAGAGGAAGTATGGGCCAATAAGCCTTCTGCAGTTACTTCCATTCATATGTTCACATATCCAATTTATACCCATTGTTTCATGTTCTGTCTTGTGTTTGTCACTTCACCCAAACCTTTTGTACCATATCACCTCATCCAGTAGAGTATAAGTACGAAGAATTTGTGTGTAAATTAAGTCTTTGAAAATGTAATACGAATTACGAAACACGTTCAGGCGTCAGATAATTAAAAAATGAATTTCGGAGAATTGTTATTTTTATTACCATCGACAGTGAAGAAAAACATAAGAAATATTGAGAAGATTTGTGTTAGAATTATTGATCTTACCTCTTCGGTCATTTTCAACAACATATGTTTACCAGAAAGACTGCTACCAAAATATACTAATATATATAATGAGGGTACCACCTCTGGTGCCAATGTAGGGACCCATAGCCTCGGAGAAGAAAATTAAAAGTATTCAGAGAAGACCTTGTGGTTTCTCACCGAACGCTAATATTATCTTCTCCTATCACCCCCATTCTTTTGTATGTACACACATATATTTCTTTTATTTGAACATTATATATATATATATATATATATATATATATGGAAGTGAGTTCTGGGGTGTAAGTTTTCAGTTGCATATTGTCCTGGGGACCATTCAGGCTTGTTCGCATATATATATATATATATATATATATATATATATATATATATATATATATATATATATATATATATATATATATATATATATATATATATATATATATATATATATATATAAAGTTCCTCACTTGTATTAATATAAAAACTTGCTCACAAAGGTGGGAGTCCTCGCTTAAGAATCGTGGACGTAACTCGCCAATGGCTACTGAAGACCAACAGCTTGTTGCTGCTGTCAGTGTGGCTGGAGAAGTTTTCTCTTTTCTCTCAGACGTCTGCAGCTTTTATCATGATGTATTATTAAGGTTAGTAAATTTTCTCTGTACTCATTTTTTGTGTAATTGAACTTTATAGCTCAAATAATTCATAATGTATGACTTACTTTGGCCATGGTGAACCCAGGAAATCTCACGATTCAAGAGTGTTCATGCAGAATTCATCCCATGGCAGTTAACTTGGCCCGCCATGGGACAGGCCAAGTTTTCAAGTAGATATTGTTACAGTGGCACCTCGACTTACGATTGCCCCGACTTAAGATAATTTCGAGTTACGATGCAAATTTCATAGAAAAATCTGACTCGACATACGATGGTGTCGTCGACTAACGATATTTGTTGGTACACGTTCGGGTCGACCGAGCGCCTAGTTTCCAGTCACGCGGTCCGACCTGCCTTAGTTTACTACAGCTGCCTGCTTAGTGACGATCACGCCTATAAGAAATTCTGTGTATGTGATGATTTTCTGTTGGGAGCCCCTACGGCTCCCTGGAGCTTATCGGGCTAATGTATGTTATATTAGACCGGGACATTAGCTATGGAGTTCAAACCTACCAGGGACCAGAGCCAGAACCTGGCCCCTTCAGAGAGGTTTCAGGGAGCAATGGCCCTAGAAAACCCCCTTGTGGTTGGGGTTTTCCTTATTTGCCATCGACTGGGGTTAGGCATCCAGAAAGGTAGGCATAACAAAACAAACCCCACATGGTAAAAAACTAAAACAAAAAACCGAACAGAGAGGTAGAAACTCCTACAATCCCAAGGAAACAAGCAAACAAGCAAACATCACACTTTACTGCCGCGCCAATCGTCCGCGCAGCCCTCCCCGTTTCAAGAGGGAGGGGGAAGCCCTGGACCTACCGCGCCGGCTGCCTAGCTTCAGTTCATAAGCTAATGTCAACCGGGATAGACGCTTCTCTGGCCTCAGTTTCCAAAGAGGTGTTTGCCTTTTGTGGCGTTCACTGCCGTGTGTTGTATTGTGTGGTGGCCAGGAGTACCTCATCAGTGACGGGGCTGCATGCACTTAGTGGCTTACTTCCCTAAGCGCCCTGTGAGTACTGCCCCTGCATGACAGGGTTATCTTCCCTGGGGCGTTCGGGAACCTCTACGGGGAATTCCCGTAGAGGTTCTTGCTGCTCGGCATTTGCCTCGCCCTTGGGGCCAGCTGGGGCTTGGGGCCCTTGTTTGGCCTTGGGTAGGGACTGGTATTGAAATTGAAATTGAAATAAGTTTATTGAGGTAAAATACACACAAAGGGGATGAGGTAGCTCAAGCTATTCTCACCCCGTTCAGTACATCGTGTTAATACATACATATAAACACATCACAAACAATAAACATATTACCAAACATTCTGAGATAAACATCTACATTTCCTCTTTTACACAAGTAGTATGGTACCAGATGTACACAAATACTTTTATGACCTAGGTATACTGTATAGACAATTTGCAAGAGACATGCAGATAATTCAACAAAAAATTAGTCTTGGTGCAAAATTCTTATATCTCTCAAGAATATCATCAACCTTTCCGGTGTGACACATCCAGGCTATTTGTTCAGGAACAGTCCTTATCTCAGTGTTTCTATATACATTAATCAACGGACAATCAAGAACATAATGGGCAAGGGTGTGAGACCTTAACATACCACATAGTTTACACTTCGTGTCATTATCATGAACACCTATCCCATATTCCCAGTAATATTTGTACCCAAGCCTGAGCCGCATGTACACAGAGTCACTCCAAGCATTTCTCCTTTTACCATAAGTGAAATGGGTGTTTTGACTCACATACATTTAGTATTGCATGGTTTGACTTCTCTCACATTATTCTTCTCCTCTCCACTTCTGCCTGTGCCTGAATATTTCTGATTTTGCTTCTTATTTGTCTCATTGTGAATACACATTCAATGTCAACTTGTGGTTTTGATGTGGCACGTTTGGCCAAGTCATCCGCCACTTCGTTGAGCACTATTCCAACATGAGATGGAATCCACATGAATTTCACACTATGACCTTTCAGCTGTATTTCAGTTATCCTTTTCTTACAATCCTCAACTATGGACATGAAGACTGGGTTTCGACTGTTTAAGGAATCAAGTGCTCCTCGGCTATCAACAAATACAAAAACATTTTTGTCGTCATGACACTCTTCCTCCAAACATGCCAGAATGGCCTGCAGTTCAGCTTGTGTGGATGATATATAATTACTAAGTCGGAGTTCAATTATCCTGTTCATAGTCCCAAACTCAGTATATTATTAGGACACCACACCCTGCCCTGCCATCCTCCACCACCGACCTGTCACAATATACATGTAAACTGTTGCCTCTTGGTAACCGAGATATCATGCTTCCATACAAACACCGTAATTGTCCCGGTTCATGATGAATCTTTTTCACCTTGAGGGGTACAATTTTGACGTCTATTTTCTGTACTTTCCAGGGAGCAGACCTATTACACTAGTGAGAGGGTTTACAGCAGTCAAGTACATCGTATTCCCTGAGGTCATGAGCTAATCCCCTCGTGTACTGTCTCCCCCTCAGTTTCCTGGAAGTGTGTACGTCACTCAAGCAGGTCTGAACGCTCTGAAACAGCTTATCCCCTCCTTTTCTCTGCATGAAACGAATAGATACTCTAGTGTTAATGTCACGGACTCTATCATACACACTCTGTAAATTTAATTCCATTCTCATTATTTCAATCATTGCATTTCTTTGACATCCAAGAATAATCCTCATAGCCTCGTTCTGTATCAGCTCTATTTTTTTAATTCTGCCTTGGCCTGTGTAAGACAAAACTGGTGCTGCGTAGTGTATCAGGGACCGAACAGTGCTTATGTATAACATCCGCAAGATAGGTACCCCAACATCTTTACCAGAAAAAGCCAGTGCTTTTAGAGGATGCAGACGGGCTTTACATTAGGTGCTGATATGATTTATTTCAGCATTTTTACTCTCACATGTATATCCAACATACATGCCCAGATACTTGTACTTCTGAACATGACTCAGTTCCACACCATTTAGAGTAAGTGTTATATTTCTTCGTTTCCTATACTCATATTTGGTTTTGTCTGCATTTATAACTAAGCCTAACTTGTGACAGGTTGTCCCAAGTATGTTAAGAGCAGTTTGAATTTTGTTCCCAGAAGTGCCTTGTTTAACCCTTAACATGCTAGGGGTATAATATCCTTTCTTCCCCACAGGCGCATGTAATTTTGAAAAAAAAAAAAAAATTCATCCTAACCTGTTAATTTGTGTTTACTGATCACGGGAAAAATAATAAAAAAAATCGTAAGTGGCATATATTGCCTGCTATAGGGCGGGGAAGTCTGGCAAATTATAGGCACTGACTCAGCGTGCGTCCCAGGCGGTCTGTTGCTTGCCAGCTGTCAGGCTGGAGTTGCCACAAAGAGATAATTACCTAATTATTTCAATGTCTCTGATTGATTTTTCCAATTTTTTTTGCTGTAATATTATTCAATAGTGTGTAGTTTGATATATTTATATAATAAAATGAGTGAATCATTGCTGTACTCAAAAATATGGTGTGCATATTGTTGATTCAATTACGTTCATCAATCAGTGAACAAATACTTTGTCGGTTATTACAGTCTCTGCTCCAGAGAATCAACAAGTCCGCCATAGGACGACAACTAGACGAAGTCACGTGCAGAAACTGAGAGACCGCAGTCTCTGCAAACAGCAACGGACAAAACAGAGATGAAAACCTAAGAGCCAGGGCCCAAGCAGATTCCAAAGAGAGGACGAGCACAGCCTGATAGCACGCGAGGCGAGAAGCAAAAAACAGAGACACCGCTTCCTTCAGGATGGGCGCAAAGAGCTTCAACAGTGCAGCCGACGCCCTAGCTGCCAAAGACAGCGCCCCGGACGAAGGCCCTTCACTCAACGCTCCCACATCCTCCTCAAGCCAAGCAGAAGACAGCTCAAGAAGGGAAAAGAAACGCAAGACCGAAGCCAAATGCCCACGGGAGCGCAACTCCTCCGCAACCAACGAAGTCGAAAGCTGAGGAACCTGCACGTGAAGCTGGAAAAGGCCAACATCCTGAGAAAGCATGGGAGCGAATAAACATGCATTAAGGTGCTCAAACTTGCCCTCCAGGTAAACCTGCATAAAAGTAGCAGTTTCCCGCTAATCAAGCGTGCGGGTCCGACAGAACCCATGCCACGCCCCCAACAAAATGAAAGGGCAGTCTGCCAGCCAGGAAGACTCCGGAACCTCCAAACGCACCCAAAAATGGGAAGAAGAACCGAACTCAAACGAGGACGGATCCATTGGGGAGGCATAACCCGGGTCTCGCAAGAGGTATGCAGCAAGAGCTTCCCGAGCCACCTTCGCAGAGATACGGGAAGTAGCAAACCCCTGGAAAGACGGATCCGAGGTACCCAAAGGCGCCCGGAACCGAACCCGGGGAGGAGCCGAACCCAAATCATACTCATACAGGGAAGGGGGGGTAAGAAAACCCCTCCCCCTGCAACAATAAGCCCTGCGGGGAATGTAAAAGCACCCAAGCGGGGTCACAGGGGGCCCAAGGCCCCCAGGTCGACAACCCCCCAGCCCCAGGATCTCCCACGTCGGGACCCAGGGCAAAGCCGTCCTCCAAACCCTCTACCCCTGAAGAAAAGGCAGAGTCCAAGGGAAAGGCAGACAAGAAGGAGGTCTGCTGGCGGGACCCAGAAGCCTTGGCAGGAGGAACTGGCTCAAATGCCTCCATCCCCGACCCGGATGAGGCAGCCTCCGAAGCAGCCCGAATCTCACTACCAACTAAACCCTGTGCCGAGGCCGAAACCCTCAGACGTTTCGGAGACGGACACAGGGGGGGAGGTGCAGGAAGAACCACAGGGGAAGGACCAGAGGGCGCGGCTGGAGCCAAAGCCATAGCGACCAACGCCCCCAGGTCAGGGTCCCTAAAGCCAAAACAGGGCAGCCTCGGGGCATCCGGGTGGGAAACCAACCTAGTGCGTTGCAATACCTTAAACCTAACATGCAACGCTGATGCTGCCTGTACCCTAATAGGAACATCCTTAGAGTAAAACTGGAGCACAAGCAGAGAACATGACTCGCAGGACTCCGGGTCAAGGGTGTCATTGACCCAACGGGCAGCATGACGGAGGCAAAACAGGTGACTGTCACCCTGAGACAAGGGCACACTGCAACCTTCAAACCCGCACAAGGCAGGCTGGAACTCGGGAGATGCATCCCTGGGTCCCCGAGCCCTGACAGGGGTTTCCAGGGCCCGTAGGTTAGCAACTACGGGAAGCCCGGGCAAGGTGTTGCTAACCGGTTAAGAAACCCAAACAAAACAAAGGGTAAATGATAATACTGAAAATCCCTGGGACGTGTACAAGCACGGGGGCCTAGCAGAGGGCCACCAAAACAATACCAGGGGAACTATGGACCCACGAGGCAGAACCTCCACCAGGCAAACAAAAATAAAAGAAAAGAATAACCCCACAAAAGTACACTGTCCCCAGAGGCAACAGGAACCGGTCACCGCTTTGGTGGCAGGCCGCGCAACACCTTGACGCCCTAACCAGCACAATACCACTCCCTACCCAAGGCTGAACAAGGGCCCCAAGCCCCAGCTGGCCCCAAGGGCGAGGCAAATGCCGAGCAGCAAGAACCTCTAAGGGAGCGGTTCCCGAACGCCCCAGAGAAGATAACCCTGACACGCAAGGGCAGTACTCACAGGGCGCCTAGGGAAGGAAGCCCCTAGGTGCATGCAGCTCCTGCACTGATGAAGTACTCCTGGCCACCGCACACCACACAAAAACAGCAGAGAACGCCACACGAGGCAAACACCGCCAAGGAATTTGAGGCCAGAGAAGCGTCTATCCCGGATGACACTAGCTTGCGAACTGAAGGCAGCCGGCGTGGTGAGGTCCGGGGCCCCCCTCCCCCTCCCGGGGAGGGGAGGGCTGCGCGGACGACCGGCGCGGCAGTAAATTGATTGTTTGATTGTTTTCCGTGGGATTGAAGGGAGTTTTCTACCTCTCTGTTCGGTTTTTTTGTAGTTTGTTACCATGTGGGGTTTGTTTTATTACGCCTACCTTTCTGGGTGCCTAACCCCGGTCGATGGCAGATAAGGAAAGGCCCCAACCATATGGGGTTTTCCAGGGCCAATGCTCCCTGGAACCTCTCTGAAGGGCCAGGTTCTGGCGTTGGTCCCTGGTAGGTCTGAACTCCATAGCTAATGTCCCGGTCTAACATAACATACATTAGCCCGATAAGCTCCAGGGAGCCGTAGGGGCTCCCCACAGAAAACGACTTTATACGACTCTAATAACGATGGTCAGCTTTCAGCCTCTGATTCTGCTATTGAGTTCAATAGGTTCTTCTCTTCCATTGGTTCATCCCTTGCAAATGATATTCCATCTTCCAGTACTGACATTAAGGACTATCTTACAGGTAACTATCCACAGTCTCTGTACCTAAAGCCTATTAATTCCGCTGACGTCAATGAGATAATCCTTTCCCTTAAAACCAAGTCTGGTGCCCTTGAGGAGATACCAACTTTAATTTACAAAAAAGCCTCCAGACCTTTAGCCCCTGCTATTGCTTTGCTCTTCAACAAGTCACTTGAACTCCAAACCTTTCCAGATATTCTAAAAAAAAGCGAGAGTAACGCCTGTCCACAAATGTGGTGATCTCACAGATGTTAACAACTACAGACCTATATCAATCCTGCCAAACTTGTCAAAAATTTTTGAAAAACTAATCTATAAGCAGCTTTACTCATATCTAGCCAAACTCAATATACTTAGCCCTTGCCAATATGGCTTCAGACCCAAAAAAAGCACTAACGATGCACTTATTAGTATGCTTAACTCGATTCATACAGCTCTTGATAAAAATGAGTTCCCTGTTGGGTTATTTGTGGACCTGCGTAAAGCTTTTGATACTGTCAACCACCAAAACCTTCTTCATAAATTACATCATTATGGAGTCAGAGGACACTCCCTACAATACCTCAAATCCTACCTTACTGACAGGTTCCAATATGTTTCTGTGAATAATACAATTTCTCCCACCCTACCCATCAACATTGGTGTTCCTCAGGGCAGCATACTTGGCCCTCTCCTCTTTCTCATCTACATTAATGACCTTCCAAATGCCTCCCAACACCTCAAACCAATTCTATTTGCTGACGACACAACCTTCATTTACTCCAGTCCTGACCCCCCTTGCTCTAAATGCCACAGTAAATACTGAGCTAAATAAAGTCCATCTTTGGCTAACTGCCAACAAACTCACCCTTAACATTGACAAAACTTTCTATACTCTGTTTGGCAATAAATCCTCTAATCAAATAAATCTCAAAATAAACAATACCCAAATTTGTAACAAATTAGATGGCAAATTCCTTGGCATTCTCATTGACCACAAGCTGAATTTCCAGGGACACATTCTAAATATATCAAAAAAGTTTCAAAAACTGTGGGCATTCTTTCTAAGATCAGATATTATGTACTACGCCCTGCCCTGGTGACTCTCTATTACTCCCTTATCTATCCATATCTCAACTATGGTATTTGTGCTTGGGGCTCTACTACCCAAAATCACTTACGTCCTCTAATTACTCAACACAAAGCTGCTATTAGGACAATATCCAACTCTGGCCCCAGGCATCACTCGGTACCCCTACTCAAATCTCTGAATATGTTAGACATTAAGTCACTGCACATTCTCTTATGTGTATTATACATATATAAAACGCTAAACTATAATGCCAATCCTGATCTCAAAAGCTTCATAGAAGGATGTAACAGAACCCATGAGCACCACACCAGAAATAAATACAGTTTTGATATTCCTAGAGTACGACTTAATCAAACTAGAAATGCTCTACAAATCAAGGGGCCCAGAATGTGGAATGACCTTCCCAACCATGTTAAAGACTGTACCTCTCTCAACCAGTTTAAGTCAAAAACGAAGCTATACCTAATAAATTCCCTGTAACCTACCTTACCCTTCTATTGTCAACCAATGTCTGTTTTTTTTAAGAGCGCTGTTTGTTGACATAATTGTATTTGTGCTGCTTTTTCATCTGTTTTCATTTCTTGTTTTCATTCTACTCATTATGCTCAATTAGTATTAAGCTTGTCATTTAAGTTTATCATTCCCGAAACGCTTTGCGTAATAGTGGCTTTAGGCATTGTATGTACTAGCTCTACCTATAAGTCAACCAATCTTTGTAAAAATTTATTGTATGTATGTACCTTACCTAAATAAAAATTATTATTATTATTATTATTATTATTATATAATTAGTTACAGTGTCACCTTTCTGCTACCAAATAAAAATGTCAGAAAACATTTTGTGTTTGCTGGGTAGTCCTTAACATTAGTTAAGGAAGATGGAATATTTATTTATTTATTTATTTATTTATTAATTAATTTATTTATTTATTTATTTATATATATACAAGAAGGTACATTGAGTTTGTGAGGATACATAGCATAGTGATTACATTCTTGTAAAGCCACAAGTATGCGTAGCGTTTCGGGCAGGTCCTTAATCTAACAGATAATTTACATTTGCAATTTACATTTACATTTGCATATCATTTACAAGGGATGTTCCAATGGATGAGACAAAACTATTGAATATAATGGTAGTGTCAGAAGCAGAAAACACATCAATGTCATTGGATTGGAGTATTGGTATCTTATTCAAGATCTTCTCTAATCCTAATATTTGGGAAATAGTGCTCCATTTTCTTAATGTTGCCCTTAATATGATCAAATTTATTTTCATAGTATTTTATTTTGGCTTTCCTAATTATTTTGAACAGCACTGATTAACTCCTTGAAACTTCTTTGGAGATGATCCCTAACCTATACTTCTTCTCATGGTGATGTTTTTTATTAATAGATTTAAGTATAACCTTAGTAAGGCATGGATTGTTTAACCTTTTACTTGTGACTTGTTTTGTTAGCATTGGACAGTGGGTATTATAGAGGCTCAGAGTTTTGTGAATAAATGTTTGCACCGCTAGGCTGATGTTCACTATGTTACCTAATTCAGTCTCCTAGTTGACAGCAGCAGCAGCATCAATAAAGATGCTTATAAAAGTTATATTGCATAGCCTACAGCTTATCTTCAATGTATCTAGAGGTGGTTTAATAATGTGTTTGTTTTGTATCATATTGTAATTATTGTTTCTTAGGAATAGCAGGAATTAAATATCTGTGGACATGACACTTTTCTTACAAAAGTGATGTAATCTTTTAATATATACATTTCCTTCTTGCAGGGAGGCAAAGATATCTTACCTGAGATTAACATACATCCTTTTGACATCAGAACTTGCTGCTCGGGTGAGACCTCTTCTCATAAAAATATATAAAGTTCCAGCTAAAGAGAAACACAATGAAGCAGACAAGCGATCATTAGAAGCTGGGACATCAGTTTGGCAACTTTATAAGAAGTTAGAAAATATAGAAAAGTAAGTATAGTGTCATAATATATTTAACCTCGAGACGAAATCTTACATCAATTTAAATTTCTGTGGGGAGCCCTGTTGGCTCCCTGCAGCTATCATCACTAATTAAGTACCATACTACCTAGTGTCATCAGTTGCGGAGTTCTTTCTGTGGGAAGCCCCTACGGCTCCCTGGAGCTTATCGGGCTAATGTGTTTTATATAAGACCGGGACATTAGCTATGGAGTTCAGACCTACCAGGAGGACCATGAGCCAGAACCTGGCCCCTTCAGAGAGGTTTCAGGGAGCAGTGGCCCTGGAAAACCCCCTTGTGGTTGGGGGTTTTCCTTATCTGCCATCGACCTGGGTTAGGCACCCAGAAAGGCAGGCATAACAAAACAAACCCCACATGGTAAAAAACTAAAACAAAAAAACAGAGAGATAGAACTCCCTACAATCCCAAAGAAACAAGCGAACAAGCAAACGTCACACTCTACTGCTGCTCGTCCCTGCAGTCCTCCCCTCCCTGAGAGGGGGATGGGAGGGGGGGGGGCCCGGACCTTACCGCGCCAGCTGCCTAACACTCTAGTTTGCAAGATAATGTCAACCAGGACAGACGCTTCTTTGGCCTCAAATTCCTGGGTGGCGTTTGCCTGTGTGGTGTTCTCTGCTGTCTTGTGGTGTGTGGTGGCCAGGAGTAGCTCATCAGTGCCGGGACTGCATGTGCTTAGGGGCTTTCTTCCCTAAGCGCCCTGTGGATACTGACCCTGCATGATAGGGTTATCTTCCCTGGGACATTCGGGAACCGCTCACTTAGGGGTTCTTGCTGCTCGGCATTTGCCTCGCCCTTGGGGCCAGTTGGGGTTTGGGACCCTTGTTTGGCCTTGGGTAGGGAGTGGTGTTGTTTTGGTTAGGGCATCAAGTTCAAGTCCAAGTATGTTTATTGAGACAAGAAAGAAATACATCTCAAAGGGATAGCTTTGTTATCTATCTCTACTTTGATAGTAGCTTAGGCTATTTCTACCCTCCCGGAAAGGTGTTGCGCAACCTGCCACCTATGCGGCGACCAGTTCCTGTTGCCTCTGGGCACAGTGTACTTATGTGGGGGGGTTTCTTTTCTTTGGTTTTTTGTTTGCCTGTTGGGGGTCTGCCTAGCGGGGGCTATGGTTTCCCTGATACTGTTTTGGTGGCCCTCTGCTAGGCCCCCGTGCTTGTATATGTCACAAGGGCTTCAGTGTTGTCATCTTCCCTTTGTTATTTTGAGTGTTTAACCGGTTAGCAACACCTTGACCAGGCTTCCCATAGTTGTTACCCTATGGGCCCCTGGAAAACCCTGTCAGGGCTCGGTGGACCCATGGATACGTCTTCCAAGTTTCAGCCTGCCTTGAGCGGGTTTGAAGGTTGCTGTGTGCCCTTGTCTTAGAGTAACAGTCACCTGTTTTGCCTCCGTCATGTTGCCTGTTGAGTCAACAACACCTTTGACCTGTTGCCTCTGGAGACGGTGTACTTTTGCGTGGATTTTCTTTTATTTTTATTTTCATGGCTGGCAGGGGTCTGCCTAGTGTGGCTATAGTTCCACTGGTAGTGTTTGGTGGCCCTCTGCTAGGCCCCTGTGATTGTACACGTCGCAGGGGTTTTCAGTGCTATCCTCTACTCTCTTGTTATTTTTGGGTTTCTTAACCGGTTAGCAACACCTTGCCCGGGCTTCCCGTAGCAGTCAGCCTACGGGCCCTGGAAACCCCTGTATGGGCTCGGGGGACCATTGAATGTGTCTTCCGGGTTCCAACCCGTCTTGTACGGGTTTGTTAGTTGCTATGCTCTTATCTCCGGGTGACAGTCGCCACTTTTACCTCGTCATACTGCCTGTTGGGTCAATGACACCTTGACCCGGAGTCTTGCGACAGAGTTTCTCTGCTTGTTCTCCAGTACCCTCCTGATGTTATTACTGTTCAGTGTGTAGGCGGCATCCGTGTTGCAAGCTAGGTTAGGTTGCTGCAATATGCTAGGCTGGTTTCCCACTCGGATCCCCCGAGGCCGCCCTGTTTTGGTTAGGTGCTGTTCGCCCCTTTCCCTCCCTGTTCCCGGCTCCGGTCCATCTGCGGGTTTTGGGGTCGGGGCGGGGTTTAGTTGGGGCTGAGACTCGGGCGGTTTTCGGGGGCTGCCCCGTTCGGGTTGAGGGACGGAGGTTTTCGAGCCTGTTCCTCCTGCCAAGGCTTCTGGGTCTTACCAACGGCCCTTTCTTGCTGCCTTTCCAATGGGCTCTTGCTTTTCTTTAAGGGTGGAGAGCTTGGAGAATGGCTCTGCCCCGGGGCCTCTGTTGCTGGTTCCATGGGCTGTGGGGGATGCCTGCTAGCAGTTCTGTGGCGGTTTGCCCCTGCCTGGGTTTTTTCCTTTTGGGCGGAGTTTTTCGCCCATCCAGTCTGCTTTCCATCTTTGCTGGCGTGTTTTCGTATCTTTAGTGTCGGTCACAGCTCTCTGTTCTGGCGGCCATTTTCGTCTGCCGGTTTCCTGGCGTGGCCGCCAGGGTGGCGTTGCGGTTTGTTTACATGCGCCTGGGTGTGTGAGTGAGCTTCTTGGGTGAGTTTTCACCTTTTTTTCAGGGGTTTTATTCTCATGTTGTCGTTTCTTTGCATTTCTGTTGTTTTCTGCCCGTTTCCTGTTCCTCTCGGAACGTTTGGGTGTTGATTTTACACCGGGTTTCCCTTTTTGTTTGTTTTGGGTCTGGGCCCTTGGGTTTGGGCTCAGTGTCCCTGGCTGTTATGCTGGCTCTCACACCTTGTCCCTCGGTTTTCGGTCTGTTATGACCGTTTCCCTGGGGGTTCTGTCTGGGGGCTGTGCTTTGCCTTTCTGTGGTGTTTCTCCGCCGGCAAATGTGGTGGTTTGGGCTCCCCGTGGTTCGATTCCGGGTTCCTTTGGGTTCTTTGGTTTCGTTCCGGAGGTTTCTTCCTCTTGGGCCCCCTTTGTGGGTTCAGGGGGCTTTGTTTCCTCGTGTGACCCGGTTCTGCCTTCTGGAGTTCCGGGGTCTTCCTGGCTTGCAGACTGATCTTTTTGGGTCTTGGCACATGTTGTGGTCGTGCTGGGCCTTTGAGGTTTTGTTCTTGAGGTGGGCTTTTTGATGCAGTTTTGTGCCTTCTTTGCCTGGCCGGCGTGGTGCTCTCTGCCCACTGGTCAGTGGCTTGTACTTTTCCTTTAAAGTATATGTGTGTGTGTACGCATGTGCATGTGTATGCTGTGTGTGTGTGCACATGTGTATACACGTGTGTGTAACATACCTTGTGTGTATGTGTATGTGTAATTTTTCTTTCGGAAGGGGCTCTGTTCCCTTCTCTGTTGACGGGGCGCTTTTGGTTGTCTTCCGGCCTCTGGTAGCGTCAGTGAACAACTTCTTACCCTTTGGGGGGGGGGTTCAGAGCTGGCGGGTGGGCTCCCAGTCGGTCCGCTTGTCTGCTCGCCAGGGGTGTGGTTCTTTCCAGATTGCCGGGTTTGGTTTCTTGGTGATCTGGAGGCCATTCCATCTGTTTCCGTCCCTGGTTCAGACCTGGGCCTTGTTTAGGGCTATTGGGCCACTCCTTGTCTTTCCCTCCAGAAGTGTTACTGCGGCTGTGGTCCCACCTTCGGCTGTTCATGAGGTGGTCCCGGGTTGCTCAGCGGTTGCTTGAGCAGTTGTGCGGGAGTCTGAACTTCGACGTGCATGTCAGCACGCGGGGTCGGGTTTGGCTTCGGCGTCTGTTTGGTTCCTTCGGAGACTTCCCTACCGCCTCTTGCAATCGTTGGGTTCGTTCCTCCGAGGACCTTGTGTTGGTGCTGCGTCTCCAGCTTCCTCTTTCAGGTTTTCGGGGTTCCGTGCATTGGCACCTCCCCGAGCCTTCGCTCGATGTGTTCACGGACGGGTCATCTCTCGGCTGGGGCTTTGTGACTAGTGCTCACCAGGTCAGCTGGGGATGGTGGAGTCTGTCCATCCGTCGGGCTCGCAGCATGGTTCGGGAGTTCGTGGCTGTCTGGTTTGCACTTCGGAGGGTTTGGGTCACTCAGTACTCTACCATTCGGCTCCATTCGGACTGTTCTCTGGTGGTTCTTGCTGGAACCACAGGGTTCTCATAGGTGTTGACCTTTGGGGTTGGTTCCTTAGAGTGGCTCGTTTGCTGGATTTTCGGGGTTTGGCTAACAGTGAGGTTCATGTCCGGGGTGTGCCCTGCGTCCTAGCAGACAGCTGTCTCGGTTCATTCCTCTGTTCGCGGATTGGCCAATCATCGCCGACTCGTTTTGTTGGCTCTATCGGACGTATGGACTCCTGGCTATGGACGTCTTCGAGTCGCGTTTTCTAGGCATCGCCCATTTTATGTGGCGCCCTTACCCACCTGCGAGGCGTTCACAGTGGATGCTTTTCGGCAGGACTGGTCGAGGTGGGGGTACCTGTTCCTCTTCTCCCAGTCCAGCTGTTGCTTCGGGTTCTGGTTCGGTTGCAGCCCATCCCACGAGAGCAGTCCTTATGGTTCCTTGGTGGCCGGCCCAGCTCTATTTTCATACGCTGCTTGATAGGTGTTTGAACCCGGGGCGTTTTCCCGCAGCTCCGCGTCTTTCGGCAGGTCGGATCGGTCCTATACATGACTGGTTCGGCCTTCTCCTCGGCTCTTCGTGTCTGGTATTTTGACGCGGGTATCACCATCTCTGTGGTGTTCAGGTGGCTTTGTTGACGGTGTCCCACCTGCGAGCTTCGTCTTGGCGACAGTATGACGTTAACTGGTGTTTCTATGCACTTTTTCTTGCTCTTTGTATGTTGTCGTCTCTTATGCATCGGGTTGTCTTGTCCTTTCTTGGGTTTTCAGGAATACAGTTATTTGATGTATTTACTGTCGCCTCGTTTTGTGCGGCACTGGGGGAGCCACTCCGGCTTGCGTTCGGGGTGGACGTCACATCTGCCCCGTTTCGTACGCTTTCTCGTGTTTTGTTTCACCTCCGGCCTGCTTATGCGTCGCAAGAGCCGTCCTGGTCCTTGATCAGGGTGCCGCCTTATTGTCTCCTCAGTTTGTGGTAGCCCCTTCAGTTCAGGTTTCTGCTCTTTGGTACTGTTGGTAGATTTGTACGTGTGCAGCCTTTCTCCGTCCTGGCGATGGTAGAGACGGCTGCTTTCCGGAGGGGTTCTTGGGTTATTGATGCTTGATTGGTTTGGCCGGGGGTGCGTCCTATGTTGTCCGGTTGTGCTTTTTTCCGTAACCTGCGTACCGTGTCTGGAGATATGCTTTGGGTTGATTTGGTTCCCCTCGTTCCCTGTTTTTCAGGGCTCGGGTCTCCCAGGTCGTCCGCAGAGTTTTTCAGTCTTCCAGCCTGCGGTCTGTCTTTGCGCCCGTGCTGTTCATACGTTTACAGCATTTGCTGCTGTGTTGGTGACGTCTAGGGCTCATTTCGGGCGCATAGATTTGAGGGTTGCACAGGTTCTTGGCCGCCCATTCTTTATGCGCGTCTGCTCCTGTGCGTTCTCGTTGCCTTGGGTTGCAGGTTGCAACCTGTTGTCTCGGCTTCGCGTTGCGAAGTTTGTGGCGGCTGCCTCCCGGGTTAGACTTTTCTTTTCCTTCTCTTTGGGTATGAAGTTCCGGGGTGTTGTAGGGGCTCCCCACAGAAAACCAGCGTTGAATGTAATGAAACCCCATTTTCTGGGTGAGCCCCTGAGGCTCCGTGGCAACCCTGCCTCCTACTTGTCGGCATTTTTTTCGCGTTAGTTGAAGCCTAGCTTCCGAACTGAAGCTTGGCAGCCAGCGTAGTAGGTCTGGGGCTACCCCCTCCCCCTCTCGGGGCGGGGTGGGCTGCGTGGACGATCGGCGCGGCAGTAAAGTGTGATGTTTGCTTGTTTCCTTGTGATTGTAGGGAGTTTCTACCACTCTGTTCGGTGTTTTGTTTAAGTTTTTTACCATGTGGGGTTTGTTTTGTTATGCCTACCTTTCTGGGTGCCTAACCCCGGTCGATGGCAGATATGGAAAACCCCAATAACAAAGGGGTTTTCCAGGGCCATTGCTCCCTAAAACCTCTCTGAAGGGGCCAGGTTCTGGCACTGGTCCCTGGTAGGTCTGAACTCCTTAGCTAATGTCCCAGTCTAATATAACATACATTAGTCCGATAAGCTCCAGGGAGCCTCTGGGGCTCACCCAGAAAATGGCATTTCATTACATTCAACGCTGGTTTTTTTGGAGCCAGGGTTGCCCTTTCCATTTCTATTGCGATTTCTAACAAAGCACTAGTTGATCAAACATTGTTACATATTAATACACTATTTGTATATAGTGTAATAACAACAAAAAACAGAGGAAAAACAATCGGAAACAATGAAATAATTAGGTAATAATATGTTAGCTTCAGCAGACCAGCCCAAGTGAGTATCATGCCAGCACCTTTATCATGCCAGACTTCCTTGCCCTATCATGGCGACAATATGTCACAAATGAATATTTTTATTTTTCCTGTGATCAGGGAATGCATTTAACAATATTTGAAGGAAACAAAATTTTTTAAATTTTTTCTTGCATTCAGTGCTGTTGTCGGCTTTAGCTGCGCCTCTCAGGTTAAAGGTTGTTAATCCTTATTAACAATTATATAAGAATTTTAGTTTTAGTTTTATTAAATTATCAGTGGTTATTTAAGAGGCACAATTGCCGACTTAAATCTTGAATACATTTGCATGTTGAATGATTGTTAGTTTTTGTTTAGCTAATGATTTTGTTAATTTTATTTATTTGTATAATTTTATTTTGTTTATTATTTCATCTTTTTCAGAATAGGTGAAAATCTTCCCAATGAAGTTCAGCTACAGTCAGGTATTCGAGGCTATCATAAGTGGTTCCTAGGTGGTGTTGTCAGATGGCAGAGGAGATTGTTTGCACGGACGAGAGACCACATTTCTAAGGAGGTTGAGGGAGACAAATTTGAAGTAGATCCCTCATATATAAGATCATCACCATCTATAACCAGCTTTAATCTAATAATAAGTTCCTCTGCTTCTGGAAGCAAATCAAATTTTACAATTGTAAGTTTTAAAATTTTGTTAATTTTTTCTCTCAGATATGACTGATATTTGGTAGTTTATGTATATGTTGGTTTCATTTGTGACTGTCCTAGTAATAGATACTTTCAGATCCCCTGAGACAGGCTTATAATGCACAATCATGGTAGGCCAAGACGCTACAGTAGTATAACCGGTACAGTACTTTTAATTTTAACTTGCATACGTACACAGCACTGTATTGCTACCCTAATCTATATGAGAGGTTAATGATTTTATGTAAAAAAGCTAACTAGCTTCACCTGATATCCTGATCTCGCAGGACCGTGTCATACATGTGATGCAAAGTCTACTCTACAAGTCTGCATTAGCAAACTTTGAGTAAGATTTAAGGATATCCTCTAAAATCTGTCAATAAATGAAAAACTATAACTGTAAAGTTCCAGGTATCTCAAGTCATTTGGTCCAAAATGACATGTCATATATCTTTTACAGGAAGTTTACAGTTATAATGCTCAGTGTTGGAAGATTTGTCACCTGTCATAAGTAACAATATAACAGTCATTTTCAAGCACTTACTATGTTGAACTGTGTGCTGAATGCATACAGCTTTATCTCCATTGCCAGTGTCATTATGTAGAATAATATCTATGAGATAGTATCCTGATTTACCTGATTTACATGATTTACCTGGAGGCCACTAACCCTTTCGGTTCTCGAGCTCAGTTTCTTCTAAAAATTTGACTTGGTATTCAAGGTTTGCCTTGGTGATTGAGTTTGTTGATACATGTATGGGCCGACTGAGCACGTGGTGCGCTTCAGTTTACCAGTGTCTCCCGCCTAGTGACGACTGCGCTTTAATTCTTTGTGAAGAATTTCATTGTTTTTGTGCTTTTCTGTGGAGAGCCTCTTTGGCTCCAGGAGCTATACCGGACTGATGTGTATATATTAGACTGTGGCAACAGTCAGTCAAAGGAATTCTAGGCCTACCGGGGACCAGAGCCAGAACCTGGCCCCCTCAATAGAGAGAGACAATGAGCAGTGGCCTAGACACCCCCATATAATTGGAAGCAGTCTGTCTGCCATCTACCAGGTCAGGCACCCAGAAAGGTAGGAATTCCAAAACAAACTACTGCTGGTCAAAAATTGCAAACCGAAAGCTGAACTAGCAAACAGAACTCCCCAATCAAAAACAAGGAAACAAACATGATGTCACCAAAACTGCCGCCCATCCGTCTGCGCAATCTCCCTCCCCCGGGAGGGGGAAAGGGAGCTCCCAGACTTCCATGCCGGCAACTCTCCTTCAGAAGACTGTTGTGTGGGGGACAGTCGATTGACTCTGGCTCCACTCTTGGTGCAGAGCTGCTAAACGGTGTTGTTGCTCTGTGTTGGTGGTGTGTGAGCCAGGAGTAACACAAGAGTACTGGGGCTGCATGCACCTAGGGCTACCTTCCCTAAGTGCCCTGTAAGTACTGCCTTTGCGGCTTAGGGTTATCTTCCATGAGCCGTTCAGGAGTAGCTACCTCTGTGCGGTTCTGTCGCTGCTCGGTGATTGCCAGCCCTTGGGGTTCATCTGGAGTGGTTCTTACTCCTATTTGCCCTTGGGTAGGAGGTAGTTTCGTCGCTGGCTGGGGTGTGAGGTACTGTGCAGCTGTCTGATACACGCATATTGACCAGTTCTGTTCACCTGGAAACGTTGTGCTTTTGCGGGATTTTTCTTTTGTTTTTGTTTTGATTTGCCTGGTGAGGGTCTACCTTGTGTGGTGGTAGGACCACGTGTAGGATTTTAGTGGCCCTCCACTAAGTCCCTGTGCTTGCACACATTGCAGGGGTTCAGGTTTTAGTTTGTTTGCTTGGTAGCTCTTGGATAACTGGTTAGCAGTACCCCGCCTGTGCTTCCCTTGGCAGTCAGCCTAAGGGCCCTGAAAACCCCCATTGGGCTCAGTGGTCCAATGGAAGAGACCTCTGAGTTCCACCTCGCCCTGTGTGAGTTTGAAGGTTGCTCTGTTCCCTTGTCTCAGGGTGACACTCACCGTCTGCCTCCACCATGATGCCTATTGGGTCAGTGACGCCTTTGACCCGGAGTCCTGCGAGTGGTGTTCTTTGCTTGTACTCCATTCACCCTGTCCATTAAGACTGATATCCGGGTGCAGGCAGCTTTAGCATTGCATGTGAGGTATAGGTTGCAGCCATGCACGAGGTATAGGTTGCCTTTCCGGATGCCCCGCAGCTGCCACGCTTTGATTATACCTGGTAATGAGGTATAATCAACCCCTTCCAGATTGGTGCCAGAGACATTCGAGCCTGTTTCTCCTGCTGGAGCTTTTGGGTCTGGCCAGTGAGCTCCCTTCATCCCTGCTTTTCCGGTGGACTCCAGAGGCAGAGGGTTTGGAGGACGGTTCAGCCCCGGGTCCTGACGTGGAGGATTCCGGGGCTGGGAAGGAGTTGACTTGGGGAGGCTTGGGCCTCAATTGACCCTGCTTGTGTGTTGGTACCCTCGGCGCAGGGCTTGTTGTTACAGGGGGAGGGGTTTTACTATCCACCTCCCTGTACAATTTTGTTATGAGTTTGACTTCGCCCTGGGTTGGGTTCCGAGTTCCCTTGGGTTCTTCGATTCCCCTCCTTTTGGAGGTTTTTGGCTTCCTGCATCCCACCGAGGAAGGTGTGGGAGGCCCTTGCGGCTTAACTCCTGCAAGACCCGGATTAAGCCTCGATAATGAAGCCTTCTTCTTTTGAGTTTGGCTCCTCTTTTCCTTATTGCCTGCGTTACGAGGTGCCGGAGTCTTCCTGGCTGGCAGACTGCCTTTTCTTTTCGTTGGGGGCTTGGCATTCGTTCTGTCGGACTGTGCACTTGAATGGCGGGAGTTAACTACAGTCATTCAGGTTTAGCTGGGGGGGCCAAGTTGAAGCACCTCAATGCGTGCTTGTTCGCCCCCATTCTTCCTCATGATGTCAGCCAGGTACGGCTTCACTTGCAGGTTCCTGGTGGCCGAGGATTTGCACATCCGTGGGCACTTGCCTTCAGTCTTGTGCTTCTTTTTTCTGCTGGAGCTGTCTTCGGACTGGCTCGGGGTGGGTGTGGAGGAGCTGGGTTCTGGGCCAGTATCCGGTGTGCTAGCTTCGGCAGCTCGGGTGTCGGCTGCCTTGTTGAAGTTGTATGTGCCGTTTCTGAAGGAGGCAGTATCTTTGTTCTTTGCTTCTCGCCTCGCGTGCTGACAGGCAGTGCTCATCCATTCTTTGGAATTGTCTTGGGCCCTGGCTCTTAGATTTTCATCCTCTTTTTGTCCATTGCTGTTTGCAGAGTCTGCGGTAGTGTATTTTCTACAGGGGGCTTCGTCTAGTTGCCGGCCTGTGTCGAACTTGTTGGTTCTCCAGGGGGTTCGTGGTGTTCCTGCCCGGAAGGGTTGCACCAGGTCTCGGGGTTCCTTCGGTCATTGTAAGCCAGTAGTGCCAGATTCAGGATTGGCCCTTTCTGTGGAGTCGTCGGCGCAGTGATAGCTCTGAGCGTCGGTCGGGCTCTCATAGTGGTCATCAGTTCCTTTGTGATTCGCCTCTTTGACCGGGTGATAGGGGGGAGGCTCGCGCTGTTTGCTCTCACCTGGTCCCACGATTTGTGGGCATTTTGGGTCATTTCCTCCGGCCTGTAATGGTACTGGGTCGTTTCTTCTTTTTCTGGGGGATTTAGGCTGGTAGGGTGGGCCTCTTCCCCTGCACTCTGTCAGGTCATCCTGTAGTGGGTTTCCTGCCAGTTTTCAGTTCCGAAATGGGAGTGTGCGGATCTGTGATTCATACTGGACTTGTCCCATCTGATCCCCTGGATCTTTTGCCCCTCCTTTCAGATTGTCCACTCTGACTCGGGTCTGGCTGCTTTTGGTGCCAGGCGCTTGGATGGTGTATCTGGACCTCCGGGACACTTATTGACATGTCCCGATTCATCTGGGGTTCAAGGACTGGCTCGGTTTTGTCGTGGGGCAACAGGCAACTGCTTTCGTTGCCTTCCTTCCAGTTTGAATCAGGCACCTCGCGTGTCCACACGCCTTAGCTGGGTCGTGGTGGCTTGTTTGCGTCAGATAGGGGTTCTGGCTTACCTCGACGATTGGCAGGTGTGGGTTCCCAGCCAATCTACATGTCTGCTCACCAGGGATTTGATTCTTTCCCAGCTCGCCAGGTTTGGTTTCTTGGTGAACTGGAGGAAGTCCCATTTGCTTCCCTCTCAGCTTCGGACTGGGCTGGGTCTTGTATTGGACTCGTGGACCGCTTCCTTGTCTCTCCCTTCAGCGGCATTGTTGCGGCTGCGGTTCCACTTACAACAGTTTTTGGAGGGCACCCTGGTCACACATCGGTTGTTCAAGCGGCATTGCGGGAGCCTGAATTTCGCCATGCTGGTCTACCCGTCGGGTTGGATCTAGCTTCGGCAGCTGTTCTGGTTTCTTCAGGGGCATCCCTTCCGCCACTCTCGTGAGGGATCCGAACCCCTCACTGAGTTCGGATCCCTCACGATCCCTGCCTGGGTGCTTTTGCCTTCCTCATTGGGCTTATTGTTGCAGGGGGAGTGGTTTTCTTACCCCTCTTTCTCTGCATGAGTAGGATTTGGGTCCGGCTTCTCCCCGGGTTCAGTTCCGGGCCCCTTTAAGTACCTCGGCCCTGTCTTTCCGGAGGTTTTCTACTTCTTGTATCTCCGCGAAGGAGGTTCAGGACGCTCTTGCTACATACCTCCTGCAAGACCTGGTTTCTGCCTCTGTGATGGATTCATCCTCTTTTGAGTTCGGTTCTTCTTCTCGGTTCTGGGTGCGTTTGGAGGTTCTGGAGTCTTCCTGACTGGCAGACTTCCCTTTCTGGCAGGCTGACTGGCTGACTGACTGACTGGCTGGCAGACTGCCCATGCCCATTTGGGGCATGGCATGGGTTCTGTCAGACCTGCACGCTTGAATGGCGTGAAACTTTGACCGTTCTGAATCAAGCCGAATGGAAAGCAACAAAAGCGGTAACCTCAACATCCCACCACAAAATCGAGCCAGTTCCTG